AATCCACTCACCTCAGCCTCCCAAAGGTGCGGGATTACAGGCTGAGCCACCGAGCCCGGCCATTTTAACTGTTTTAAAGGTAAAGTTTCATAATTTTCATATATTCACAGCACTGTAGAACCATTATCACTATCTAATTATAGCACCATTTAATCTAACATTTTATCCCCCTCGAAAAAGAAACTGTACCCCTAATCTTTGGCAGCCACTGTTCCCTTTATGGATATGCCAGTTTTGGATATTTGATTTAAAATGAAACTATACATTATGGGACCTTTTTTTCCCTGCCATTATTCCTTTAATCATAGTGTTTTTGAGGTTTGTCTGTGCTATAGTGTGTATTAGTACTTCATTCCTGTTTTATGACTGAATAATATTACGTCATATGGGTTAATACTACACTTGTTTATCCATTCGTCCATTGGGACATTTGAGGTATTTCCACTTTTTTGGCATTATGAATAAAGCTGCCTCAAGTATTCACATGTGAGTTTTTGTGTGAGCATATGTTTTTATTTTGGGGGCATATATGCCTAGGAGTGGAGTTGCAGGGTCATATGGTAGCTGTATGTTTAACTTTTCAAGGAACTACCAAACTGTTTTACATGGCAGCTGCACCATTTTACATTTACACCAGCTTTCCTCTTTCTAAAAATAATTTTTTATCTTTTTATTTAAGTAAGAACTCTTCCTGAATCTCTCATTTTTTGAGTTTCTCCAATAATTTTATATTATTGTGTTGAATTATTAAGAACAAACTGGGGAGGAGTTACTAAATATAGAGATTTAATCATTCCTCAGGATCCTTGTTAGTCTATGCATGGCACATCTTTGATTTTAGTCCATTGTTTTTCCTTCATATTTGATATTCATAGCCATTTCTTCATCCCCACTGTTGATAATCTACTTTTAATATATTTGATTTATATACTTGATATCTACATGTCTTTGGCAAACTTGGACTGCTGCTTTGTATCTATATATGTTGAATATATACACGTATACACGTAGCTGGCACTGTGCCATCATTCCTTGTGTCTAGCTGCTGACTGGTATTCTCTGTAGGCTGTTACCATAGTTGGCTTACTCATTCCTGGCAGTTGATGGCTGTTTTGTTCTAATTCACTATTATAGAGAATACCGCAATGTGCATTATGTTTACATTTCTTTCACTGGACTACATAATATTTTCTATAATCCCAAGAACTGCAATTTTCAGGTCCAGGAAAAAGGTATGCAGTTATATCAAGTATTGCCAAATTGCTTTTCAGAAAAGTTGCCTCTACATTCTCACCAGCAATGCATGTCTCATTCCCTATATCTTTACCAACTTTTTGTATTATCTTTCTAGCTTTTGCCAGTTAATAGTTATAGTGTGGTATGTCATGGTAATTTCAATTTATGTATCTCTGATTATTAGTGAAGTTAGGCATTTTCACAAATTTTCTTGAAACTTGGGTTTCCTTTTCTGTGAACTACCTGTTTATACCTTTGTCCATTTATCTGTTGGTTTCCCTGTTTTAAAAATTAATTTGCTTATTCCATTTATAATAATGAGTATTAATGGATTTTATTTGGTTCTTACTGTAAACACTAATATAGTTCTGTTCTGAATTTCATTTTAAAAGGGAGAAAGACTATAGAAATGCTTTCAAAGTTATAATAAAGTTAATTTTTGTTTTTAGTCCAGATGTCAGAGCATTCCTTCAAATGGACAGTCCAAAACATCAGTCAGATCCATCTGAAGATGAGGATGAAAGAAGTACTCAGAAGGTAGTAAGAGGAATTGTATTTTTTAACAGAAAAAATACCATTCCCCAAAGAAAAAATTAGTAGCAACTTTAAGACAATGTTTACATCAAATGAAATAACTTCATTCATAGTAGAGTTTCTACTATGTAGAATACATAAAAACAAATATGTATACCTCTTACTGATTACTATTTCTTATAAAACTTACAGAGTGAGTGCTTTTTATGGTAAAAATTAATATAGGTTAATTAAATAAAAATTTGAAAATATCAGTCAAGAAGGAAAGTATTATCTATATTATTGCCACCCAGACCTAGTAACTTAGCATTTTGGTGATTTTCTTTCCAATCCTATCTTAATGTATAGGGTTTCAAGAATTTATCTAATTTTAATTATATAATATATACAATTTTATATTCTGCTTTCTTCACTTTGCATCTTATTTTTTGATCACTATATGTTTTTATCATTATCACCATATTTGAAACTATTGTGTTGAATTTTGGCCAGCTGAAAAGGCCTTTTCACCACAATATAACACACCTCTTCCTCTGTATTGTTCAGGTTTTCATATAGAAAGTAATCAATACACAAATGCCTGTTGGCATCAACTAACTTATTTCTGTGATATATATATATAATATGTGTTCTTGATAGAGAATAGGTATTTTTTACTTTTAAACTAGATTGTGATAGCAACAAGTAAAATAAGTTTGTGCCTTATTATAAAGATGTTTTCAACATTTATCTTAGTTATATGTGAAAGGTAAATTATAGTAATTTAACTCAAAGTATTATGTCTCAATTAAAATTATAATTTAAAGGTTATATGAATATGACAGCTATATAAGTTAAGCTTTTTACAGTTTTATTAGAAATATATATGAAAATCAGAAATATTGGGTTGAAGTATACACACCCACACATGTTTGTGTGTGTCTGTGTGTGTGTGTGTATATACATATATATATATATATATTTTTTTTTTTTTTTTTTTGAGTTGGAGTCTTATTCTGTCACCCAGGCTGGAGTGCAGTGACACATTCACGGCCACCCCAGTGTCAACCTGCTGGACTCTGGCAATCCTTCTGCCTCAGCCTTCCAAGTAGCTGGAACTACAGGCGTGTGCTACCATGCCTGCTAATTTTTTATTTATTGTAGAGATGAGATCTCACAAAGTTGGCCTGGTCTCAAACCTGTGGGCTTAGGCGATCCACTCGCCTCAGCCTCCTAAAGTGCTGGGATTATAAGGATTAGCCACTGAGCCTGGCTGAAGTATATATTTTTTATAATGTCTTTTAATTTTGTCTTAATTCTGATTTTGTGACTTAAAAGACATTAAGACATGTTGTGACTTAACTATACATTGGGACATTACTGTCCCAGGACTAAAATCTTCATTTGGAAAATAAACATAATCTTCTTTTATGACTACTGGAAAGTAGTAATTTTTCTTCTGTGATACTCCAAGAAGATGCTCAGTTAAGAAAACAAATTTAACCTTTTCATCTATGACATGGTTGTTTAGGACAAGATAAAAGGATGTATATACTCATATCTGTGTAACTAGTCAAAAGAGAAACAACAAACTGGAAAAGCATTTGTAACAAATAAGACATAAGGAGAAATAATGGCTTTGTAAAAAGTTCATACAAATGGGTTTTTGAGAAGAGTGATACCTAGCACCATAGTAGATAAAGGAAAAAGGACACAAAGGAAAAAAAGTGAGAAAATATTCAGCCTTGAAACTAATAGCAAATGAAATTTTTAAAGGAGAAATTTTTATAACTCTATCAAATTAACAAAAATGTAAAGAAAACAAAAAACTGCAGAACTGTTAAGGGTAAGGTACAACGAGCATCCTTGGTCATCAATGGTGTCATTATAATTTTATGCAACTCTTTTGGAAAATAATTCAGCAATATGTATCAAATACTAAAGTATCCATATCACTTACAAATGGATAAAAATGAAGTAATCTTTCCCACAAGAAAAAAATGTTCATTTCATTGTGATCCACTACAAAAATATTAGACTCAATCTAAATATTCATCAATCAGATGTTTGTCCATATATATTATACATTTTCAATTTTTTATAGATTATATATATATATATATATATATATTTTTTTTTTTTTGAGTTGGAGTCTCACTCTGTCACCCAGGCTGGAGTGCAGTTTCACGCTCATGGCCACCCCAACAATGACCTGTTAGACTCCGGGGATCCTTCTGCCTCAGCTTCCCAAATAGCCAGAACTACAGATGTGCACTACCACACCCAGCTAATTTTTTGTATTGTAGAGACAAAGCCTTGTCATGTTGGCCAGGCTGGTCTCAAACCCCGTGGCCTCAGGCAATCCTCTCACCTCAAAGTGCTGAGATTACAGGCTTGAACTACCACGCCTGGCCTATAGATAATATTTTAAGCTTAGACATACTATTAAGTGAAATCAGTATATAAAATTTTATATGCATATTCATACAGTGTGAATTAGTTTTAAAAAGATATGCAAAGACTATATGGAAGTACTGTAAATATTTGTAGACTAATATGTTGGTAAGGTTATGGATTTTTAAAGACATCTTTTTCCTAATACTTTCTGTATTTTCCAATTATGGGCATATATTTTTAATTTAAAAACAATTAAAGCATTCAAATAATATTTTAAAGGAGAACATCCCTGTAACCATGATTTGCTTGCTACTAGTGTGAGAGTATTTAGGTCTAGGTCATTTGAAGAATGTCCTGCCTTGCTATAGGAGACAACTGGCTTTGAAGAAAGAACCAGCCTGAGAGACTACTGAGTCCTGGTTTTTGTTCTACCACTGTTGGGTTTAGATCTGAGTTTTATTCATTTTTTTTCTTTTTTCATCCATAATGTCTGACAATTGCACTAGAATCTCTTAAAGTTTTAAAATACTGATGAAAAGAATTTCTTCAAAAAAAAAAAAAAAGAAAGAAAGAAAAGATTCTCTTGCCCTCAAAGTATGGGGAAGGGTGAAAAAAAGAAAAAAATACTTAAAAAAGGATTAATACTGTTTTATAGTTGTAACTATTTATTAAAGACTTTAATGTATAACCCAATGAAGTTCTTAGGTGAAATATCTTCCAAGGCATCTGAACCTACCCACTTATTTATTAAGAGAAAAATAGAGGCCAAAGGAAGTCAAGAAACTTACCATCTCAATTAGTGTTCATTCAGTTAATAAATTATGCCTCACCCTCAATTTAGTGATTAAATGTCATCTTTAAAAATAGTAGGTACAGTGACAAATTGTCTAAGTACATAAGGGAGGACCCCTCAAAAAACTGGAATTTATAAAAAGTTATTTATTTATTCTTACATGTTTGCACTTCTGTCACCTTCAGAGCACTCTTGATTGGATGTAGGACACCTACTGAGATACTCTTTCCACTGCTCAGAGTAGTTTTTGAACTCGTCATTTTGAGTTTAGTGTTTCTGCCATTTTTTTGTTTCACCTCTTCCACATCAGCAAAACATTTCCCTTTCAGGACTTTTTTAATCTGGGGAAACAAAAAAAAGTCACTTGGGGAGAGATCAGGTGAATAGGGAGGGTAGGGCACAGGGATCATGCCGTTTTTGGTCAAAAACTGCTGAACGCTCAGTGTGGTGTGGACAGGTGTGCTTGTAAATCACCCATCATGAAACGGGCAAACACACTGAAAGAATCTCCACAAAAAAAAATTACTGAAGCGGAGTATAGTCTCTAATAACAGTTTCTGGTACACTGATGCTGATGGGTTCCTAGAACACTTACCTAGCAGGAGAATCTTGTACTACAAGGGCCTTGCCCTCCAAAAAGTAATTTTTTTAGGATGGGTTCCCCCCTCTTATATCCTAATAATTTTTTTACTTCAGAAATGTGCTCCATTAGGGAAATCGTTGCCATATAATAAAAATTTAACTACATGTTAATCACAATTCAGGGGACAAATTGTCCATATTTTTAAATCTATGCTATATTTAATTCCTTCCTTCATCTTTAAATGAAAAGTATATTGAATGAAAAATTGATCCAGTTTTCTGCACATTCATTAAAAGAATATGTGTATTGAAATTACAACTTAGTTTGAATTACGTTGTACAAGTCTGTGGAGCACTGTAATATTTAAACACAAAAGGTTATTCTCATGTTAAAATTATGCCACACAGGACTAATTTTATTTAATGATTCAGAGTATTTACAAGTTTTTATTTTGTGATAGCCTGTTATAGTTCCATATATTTCTATTTTGTGGAGATTGAAAATTTACTATATGAGGATTTTTGTACACAGGTATTAGTAGGAAATGAATTGTAACTAAAATGGTGGTGCCAATGTTGGTTGTCTCATAAGAAATGTGATTTTGGCCAGGCTTAGTGACTCAGCCTGTAATCTCAGCACTTTGGGAGGCCGAGACAAGTGGATGTCTGAGCCCGAGGGTTCAAGATCAGCCTGGGCAACTTGGTGAGACCTCATCTCTACAATTAGTAAAAAATGAACGGGGCATAGTAGTGCGTGCCTGTAATTCCTGCTACTTGGAAGGCTGAGTGGAAGGATCACTGGAGCCCAGCTGGTCAACTCTGGGGTGACCATGAGTGTGCCACTGCACACTCTAGCCTGAGTGACAGAGTAAGACTCCAACTCAAAAAAAAGAAAGAAATAAGATACTTAAGAGCTTTTGAAAGATAAGAGCCAGGCTCGGTGGCTCAGCCTGTAATCCCGTGCCTTTGGGAGGCTGAGGTGAGTGGATTGCCTGAACCCACGGGTTCGAGACCCGCCTGGGCAACTTGGCAAGACCTCATCTCTACAATAAATAAAAAAATCAGCCGGGCATGGTAGCGCATGCCTGTAGTTCCGGCTACTTGGAAGACTGAGGTGGAAGGATCAGTGGAGCCCAGCAGGTCAAGGCTGCGGTGGCCGGGTGTGGCCACTGCACTCCAGTCTGGGTGACAGAGTGAGACTCCAACTCAAAAAAAAAAGAAAAGAAAGATAAGAGTATTTGCCCCTTTATTTAAAAAAATAGTTTATAGTCTAGAGATTATAAATTTGAAATGAATTAAGTAAAAATATATGTTACATATGTCTGTAATAAGAAATTTGATAAGAAAATTTTCTTGGTTCTGATTAACTTAAAGAGAAGTTTTTCAAAGCTTTTTTATATTTATAGCTTATATGAAGTATTAGCCGGGCACAGAGGCTCAAGGCTATAATCCCAGCACTTTGGGAGGCAGAGATGGGAGGATTGCCTGAGCCCATGGGTTCGAGAACAGCCTGGACAACTTGGCAAGGCCTCATCTCTACAATAAACTAAAAAAAATATTAGCCAGGCATGGTAGCATGCACCTGTAGTTTCACCTACTTGAAAGACTGAGGCAGAAGGATCGCCTGAGCCCAGTAGGTCGGTGCTGGGGTGACCCTGAGCATGCCACTGCACTCCATCCTGAGCGATGGAATGAGACTCCAACTAAAAAAAAAAAGCAGTAAATCAGATATCTATGTATAGTTATATATATTTTATTTCAAAACATTAATTGACTAATAATTTTTGAAGCTCCAATAAGAATGTTGTTTGTTTTTTTCTCTTTAAACAGCTGCACTCTACCTCACAGAACATCAACCTGGGACCATCTGGAAATCCTCAGTAGGTTTTATTTCAAACAATTCTTTAACTGAATTTTAGAAAGATCCTTTTTAAGTGTGTGCAGATATGTGTAATTATACTAATTTAACTGGAGGCCTGTGAAATATAACCATGGTTATAGTGAATATAGTGCTGTCATATGCTTGACTAATTTGCTGCTCTAGCTTTTCACTGCTGAGGAGTTTTTAATCCACAAATTGTTAATTGGATTCTACTGTTAAGTCATTGTCACTTTTCTTGTCGTGTGTGTGTGTGTGTGTGTGTGTGTGTGTGTGTGTGTGTGTGTGAAATCAGTCAACCATATTTCTCAAGGGACTATGAAAACAAGCACCTTTGCAGGCCTAATTGATAGTCTCCTAGTGCCATGTGTTGCTGGTAAACTCCTAGTTGTTAGCCAGCTTGTCTCAGGGGAATTATGATGGACATTAGCACTTGAAAGACTGTTAAACATTATTTATCCAATTTCTCCCATATTTATTTGAGCATAGGAGAAACATTTTGAGGAACACAGGTGGAGAAATGCTGAACAAGTCCTGGGGTGGCAACTATAGACTTCATCTCAAATGTCAACTCCAGCAATTCATTGAAAGTTAATGCCTAGAACACTCAATGCAAAGGATTCCAAGGCTGCTGCTTAGCTCAGTTTGAGGAATGCCCTCACTGATTAGTGATGTCTGCCATGGGTTGGAGGAAGAGTGTAGTGTTGCTGTCCTTACTTGTAATTATTTGTATAGGCTTACTGGATTAATTCTAAAGTATTCTTTTATTCCAGGAAACCAGGCTTTCCCTACCCTTTTGGTCTACTTGGAGAGTGAGTATAGACAGATGGGAGAAGTGGTCCAAGGTTTGGGTCCTGGGACACTTCAGCATCACAAGATCAGGGAAGAACAGTTAACAGAGACTAAGAAAGAACAGTCAAGATAGTAGGAAAACCAGGAGAGTGGTTTCCCAAAGTCAGGAGAACGTGTATCAAAGAGGAGGGAGTAATTAACTCTTAATGTTGCTGATAGAGCAACTAAGGTGAAGATTGAAATTCCATTGGCCAATGGATTTGATAAGTCCTTGGTGGCCTTTATGAACAGTTTCAATGTTATGTTGAGTGTGAGACCCTGATAGGAAAAGGTTCACAAGAGAAGTAGATAAGACAAGAACAGGAAGAGACAATGAGTTTATGAAGATTGAGAAGTTTTGCTGTGATAGAAAGCAAAGAAATAGGATGCTGACAGGAAGTTTGGCTTTGAGCATTCTCTTCTGTCTTCATAGCATTGAACAAAAATGGCAGCACAAAAATGGGAATTTGCCAATAGTTAGGATTTAAAATCAGCAGTTGGGTAACCCCTTCGGGTCTCCTCCCACTGTGGGAGCTTTTCTGTCCTCTCGATAAATCCTGCTTTCTAAATAAATAAATAAAACCAGCAGTTAACAATGGGGCTTTGGGTATGGCCTCAGTTAGCCTATTTACTGTGTTTGAGGGGTTTGCATGTTTTTCACTGTTACATTTGTTTAAAAAATTATTTCAGTATCTCAGCATATCATTAAAGAACAAAATAAACCAAAAAGCAGGTTTCTGAGGGAAAAAAAATCTAAATTTGTTAAGGATTTATCTCACTAATATTTGCCTGTTATTATTTAACGTAGCCCTGATATTATGCTTATGTGAATTAACTATTTACTTTCATTATGAATTGAAGCAAATTTCAAATCTAAATGGAGTCATTCTCCTGTCCCTAGTATAGCTTAGGGTTTCAGACTGTATTGGAGGAAACCGCTCTTCTGGCTGCTTAACCTCTGCTTTCTGCTGCCATGTGCTTCTGCCTGCATAGAGCCAATGCTGTTTTTACCCAATAGATTAGCATAAATAAAAGGTTAGTCTTAGTATTCCCTCTGGCTTTCTATTCCTGGCTTTCTTATGTTACCTTCTATGAGAATAAGCAGAGAGATCTTTTATCTTTAATGTACAATAAGTGATTTATATGGAAAACACTGTTGATGATGTCATCAGAAATTTTTCTTAGCATCTTTACTAGGTGTTCCAGCTAGGAACTTCCTTTTCAAAAGAATTACCAGATACTAGATATTCCTTGAAATGTATCACTAATTTACATAGTTATTTAATTTCCTCATTAACAACATTGGTTCATGGTTAATAAAATTGGTTTAGGTAGAAGCTCCTATGCGTTCAAAACTGTAATTGTAGGAAATACATATATTCTTTTCTCCTAAAGAGAATATTATTGAAGTCTTTCTTAAGCAGAACTTAATAAGGCTTAAATAAAGTTATAAAATGTTTTATCTAATCAGAAAGTAGGTATTATTACTGTTCATATTATCTATATATCTTAAAGATAAGAAAATACCAGGGGGAATGTTGGAGTCATCTTGATGAAATGTTTTGTGCCTAACATTTTTAAAGCATAGGGATGCTAAGAAATGTTTATAAATTAATATCTTTCCAGTTTCTAGGGGGCTAATTCTTGTCATTGTTAATTTATTTCAGTGCCAAACCATCTGATTTTGATTTCTTAAAAGTTATTGGAAAAGGCAGCTTTGGCAAGGTATGAGTGTTTTTATTTTCTTGTTTAGTAAATAAATAGATAAGGAATGCATGCTTTATATATGTGAGCCACAGGACTTTTTGGCATGCAGAATATGGAATTAAGATACTTTTCCTACCCTCAAAGTACTAACAGTAATTAGGGAGGTAAAGCTTCTACTCAAATTCTAAAATAAAGTTCACATATCCAGCAGGTATTTGTTGACACCTGCTATGTGTCCAGAACCCTACTGGGTCCTGGTTTGATACTGTAAAAACTGACATGGTCACTACCTTTGTGATGCTTACAACCTAGTGGGGGACTTAGTCAATTAAAAATATTCAATCAGAAGGCTGGGTGTGGTGGCTCACACCTGTAATCCCAGTACTTTGAGAGGTGGAGGCAAGAAGATTGCCTGAGTTCAAGGGTTCAAGACTAGCCTGGGTAACTTAAGACCTCATTTCTTTTTTTGGGGGGGGGGATGGTATAATGTTTTATTTATATGTAATATTTGTATATATTTATGGAGTAACCATGATATTTTGATACATGCACATAGTGTGTAGTGATCAAGTCAGGATATTTAGGATTCCATCACTTTAAACACATCATTTCTTTTTATTGGTAACATGTTAAGTCCTTTCTTCTAGCTATTTTGAAATATACAATATATTGTTAACTCTAGTCTCCCTACTATATTATCAAACACTAGAACTTATTTGTAAGTTCATCTTTCTGTATATTTGTACACATTGGTCAATTTCTTTTCATCCCCCCACCTCCTCTTCCCAGCCTCTGCTCTCATTCTACTCGACCTCCACAACATAAACTTCTTTAGCTCCCACATGTGAGTGATAACATGCATGAATGCACACAGTATAAAACTCACTAATAGAACAACATACAAGGTAGAAAGAGAAAAGGACTCACCACTACATAAAACTGCAATGATAAACAAAAAGAGATTTTTTTTTTTTTGAGTTGGAGTCTCACTCTGTTGCCCAGACTGGAGGGCAGTGGCCGCTCCCAGCCACTGCAGCCTCGACCTGCTGGGCTTTGGCGATCCTTCACCTCAGCTTTCCGAGTAGCTGGAATTACAGGCATGTGCTACAATGTCCGACTGATTTTTTTTATTTATTGTAGAGATGAGGTCTCACCAAGTTGCCCAGGCGGGTCTAAAAAGAGATTTTTTAAAGGTGCAAAGAACATGCAAAACAACCAGAAAACAATTAGCAAAATGACAGAAATAAGTTTTCACATATCAACAATAACCTTAAATGTAAACAGATTAAATTCCCCAATTAAAAGACACAGATCAGGCCAGGCTCAGTGTTTCAGCCTGTAATCCCAGCACTTTGGGAGGCCAAGGCAAGCGAATTGCCTGAGCTTGCGGTTTTAAGACCAGGCCGGGCAACTTGGCGAGACCTCATCTCTATAATAAATAAATAAATAAATAAATAAATAAGCTGGTGTGGTAGCATGCACCAAGGCTGAGGCAGAAGGATCACCGAAGCACAGCAGTTCGATGCTGGGGTGGCCATGAGTGTGCCACTGCACTCCAGCCTGAGTGAGAGAGTGAGATTCCAACTCAAAAAAAAAAAAAAAAAAGACACAGACTGGCTGAATGGATTTTTTTTATAATTACCCAACTTTATGCTGCCAACAAGAAACCCACCTCACTTGTAGAGACACATATAGATGGAAAGTGAAGGGATTGGAAAAGATAATCCATGCAAACAGAAGCCCAAAATGAGCAGGGGTAGCTATACTTACATCAGACAAAACAGACCTTAAGTCCTAAACTGTAAAAAGAGACAAAGAAAGTCATCATATAATGACAAAAGGGTCATCTACAAGAAGATTTAACAATTCTAAATATATATGTACTCAACACTGGAGCACCCAGATGGGCAAAGCAAGTAGTATTAGATCTAAAGGGAGAGATAGACGCCAATACAATAATAGTTGGGGACTTCACACTTCACTTTCAGCACTGGACAGATCATCTAGACAGAAAATTAGCAAGGAAACCTCGGATTTAAATTACATTTTAGACCAAATAGACCTAACAGACATTCAAAGACCATTTCATCCAAAAGCCACAGAATACACTTTCTTCTCATCAACATGTAAAACTTTCTCCAGCATAGACCTTAGGTTAGGTCGCAAACAAGTCTCAGCTAATTTTTAAAAAACTAAAGTTATATCAAGCATCTTCTCAGATAAAAGTGGAATAAAAGTAGAAATCAATGACAAGAGGAACTTTGGAAGTTGTATAAATACATGAAAATTTAATAATATGCTCCTGAACAACCACTGGGTCAATAAAGAAATAAGAAGGGAAGACAAAAGTTTCTTGAAACAAGAGAAAATGAAGACATAACACACCAAAACCTATGGGATACAATAAAAGCATTTCGAAGAAGGAAGTTTATAGCAAATGCTTACATCGAAAAAGTTTTTAAAAGTTTTCAAATAAAGAGCCCAGTGATGTACCTTAAAGAGATGGTATAATTTAGTCACATTCATCATTGGTAGCACTAACACCTTCAGTTGAGTTAAAATCTGTTAAAGTGAATTTTGTTGGAGGATATTATCAGTAGTTTTTGTGGAAGAAATGAAATTTCACATTGTGATTGGACCAAAGGCAACTTGAATTGAACATCCTAGGGGGAGAGATAGTCTAAAGAAGTAAAAATACCTGCAGTTTGGCAAAAAGTTCAGTCTTATGAAGTGAATTACATGAGACTGGTCTGTTACAAGACCTCATTTCTACAAAAACTTAGTCAGGTATGGTGGCATGTGCCTGTAGTCCCCAGTTGGAAGGCTGAGACAGAAGAATCATCTGAGCCCAGCAGGTTGAGGCTGCAGTGGCTATGAGTGCCACTGCACTCCAGACTGGGTGGCAGCGTAAGACTCTGACTTAAAAAAAAAAATTCAACCAGGTAAATAATTACAGATAGTTATGGCTATGAAGGAAATTAAAAATAGGGTGAAATAACAGAGGACAGTAGGCACCTGGGGGAAAATCCTCACTTAGCTGGGTGGGTCAGGGATGGCTTCTTGGAACATGTGCTATTTAAACTGAAGCTGAAAAGACAAAAATGAGCAGCTGCGTAAATAGCAGTTTGGGATGGAAAAAAATTTGTAAAGACTCGGCTTATTCTCTTACAGTATCAGACGAGTCAACACAACTTGACAGTATAGCCATACCAAGGAAGGAGAATCATTTAAGACCAAGTTTACTAGGAAAGTGCCATAGATGAAGTTATCAGAGTCATCTAATATATTTAAAGTGCTTTTTTTGCACTATACTTCAATCTGTAGTAAAAATGAATATGTAGCCAGGCTCGGTGGCTCAGCCTATAATCTCGCGCCTTGGGAGGCTGAGGTGAGTGGATTATCTGAGCCCGTGGGTTCAAGATCCGCCTGGGCAACTTGGCGAGACTTCATCTCTACAATAAATCAAAAAATTAGCTGGGCATGGTAGCGCGTGCCGGTAGTTCCAGCTACTTGGAAGGCTGAGGCAGAAGGATCGCCGGAGCCCAGCAGGTTGAGGCTGCGGTGGCCAGGAACGCTCCAGTCTGGGAGACAGAGTGAGACTCCAACTCAAAATAAATAAATAATTAATTAATTAATTAATTAATTAAAAAATTTTTAATGAATATGTATGTGTTTAATTATATTTTGCCATATGTATTGCTTTCAGTAGTTCTAGTTTTTTCTTCTGAGTTCCTTGGAGACCAGAAGCTGTGCTCATACCCATGTATGTTTATTTATTCAGCAAGTATTTATTGTCCATCTGCTACATGATGGCCATTGTGCTAGTATAAGCAATAATAAGTTAGAAATGAATCCTGCTCTTAAAACGCCCAAAATTCTATTGAAATGCTAGAGACAGTCTGTCATTAAAAACAAAAGCATGATCTGAGCCAGAAATTGTGGTACACACCTATAATCCCAGCTACTTGGGAGGCTGAGGCAGGAGGATCACTTGAGCCCAGGAGTTTGAGACCAGCCTGGGCAACAGCAAGATTCTGTCTTGGGGGTGAAAAAAAACCATTGCCTTTTAAAAACTTTACATTTATATCTAGAGTCTGCCAGGAATTGGTTCTTGCATGTAATGTGAGGTTAGGGTCACAGTTCATTTTTCTCCATATGGATAACTAGTTTATCCTACACAGCTTATGAAAAGACTGTTCTTTCCCCCACCGATCTGCAAAGACACTGTCATCATATATCCGTTGTTCATATATACACAGATCTGATTTTAGATTTTATGTTTTATATTCTGTTTCTAAATTTTATACTTTGCTTCATTGACCTATTTGTTCATCCTGGTATCAGTAACACATTGTTTTGACAACTGTAGTTTGATATCCAACACAATAAGTCCTCTCTCCTTGTTCTTCATGAGGCTTTTCTTAGCCCTTTGCATATCTGTGTAAATTTCAGAATGTGTTGTCAGTTTCTGCAAAAGTTCTATTTTAATTTTATTGGGATGGTATTGAATCTGCAGATCAATTTGGGGAGAGTTGTCATGTTTATAATATTGAATCTTCCAATCCATTGTTGATTATATCATCTTTAATTTGTTTCAATAATATTTTATAGTGTTCTGTTTATAATTTGTATACATCTTTACTTAGATTTATTCCTAGGTGTTTTTTTGTGAGTGTGTGCTGTTGAAAACTGATGTTCATTTGTGTTGGAGTCTCACTCTGTCACCCACACTGGAGTGTAGTGGCAAGCTCACAGCTATCATACCTACTGAGCACAGATGATCTTCCTACCTCAACCTTCCAAGTAGCTGAAACTACAGGCATCCACCACCATGCCTGACTAATTTTTTTATTTATTGTATAGATGAGATCTTGCCAAGTTGTCTAAGCTGGTCTCGAATCCCTGGGCTCAGGCAATCCTCTTGCCTCTGCCTCCCAAAGTGCTGGATTTGAATTACAGGCATAATTCACTATGCCTGGCCAGGTGTTAATTTTGAAGCTGAATATTTGCATTACCTAAACCAATGTGGTTCTACTCCTAGCTACGTATTAGAAATGAATATACACCACCTATATGCAGAAATTTTCATAGCATCATAATTCATAAACAATCTAAATATCTATTAGCAAAAGAGTAGATATATTGTAGTATGTCATGTAATAAAATACTCTGCAAAACATTGAAAGTATGAAAACTATGTTATATGCCACAACATGAATAGTTCACACAATTTAGAGTGAAAGAAGTGAGACACAGACAACTTTATCCATATGATTCTAATTGCATGAAATTCAAAAAAGGACAAAACTTATCTGTGTTACTGCTAGTAGAAATGGTGATTACCTCTGAGTAAGAGGGAGGTGAATTGTGATTGAAATGGAACAAAAGAGAGGCATCAGGCTTCTGGCAGTGTTTTGTTTTTTTGACTTGGATATCAGTTGCATAAGTGTGTTCACTTTATAATAAAGTATTGAACTGAAATGATTTGTGAGTTTTCTGTATGTATACCACGTTTAATAAAAATTTAAAATCTTTCAAAGTGGTCAGAAACCAATAAAGTACAATAAAACAGAGAAAAACAATATTTTACAGAAGGAAGAGCAAACAAGTGTAAAATTGCAATCTGTTTGAAAATTAGAGACCCACGTAATAAAACTAAATATGTATAGTGGCAATCTAACATTTATTCTAAATTCTTCTCCAATGTGTGGCTTGCTTTCATTTTTCATTTGCTTCTTAACTTCTTGTCTGTTCTCCAATTCTGTCACTCTCCTAGAAGAAAAATGCCTACTTGAAGGGAATCAGTACCTACTAATTGCCACATTCTTGAGCTGTTTTCTCAAAATTTACTTGTAGGTGAATCATTCAAAACATTGGAGAAGGAAAGGTCAGGCAGAGAGTTGTCAAGAAAAGAAAAATATAAGGAAAACATGTTCAAGAGAGTCAAATGCTGCTGAGAACAAAAGAATGAGAAAAATGCTAGCAGTAGAGCAAAGAATATTTTCACTTTGAAGATGTTTTGACTTTATCGTTATGAATAACAGACTTTTTTAAAATTAGTGGACATTTATTTTTTAGAACAGTTTTTGATTTACAGAAAAAGTGAGCAGAAAATAGAGAATATTCCCAACCTGCTCCCACACACAATTGCCCTCTTGTTAACGTTTTATGCTAGTGTGGTATTTTGTTCCAGTTAATAAACCAATATTGATACATTATTATTAACTAAAGTCTATCATTTATTTGGATTTCCTTAGTTTCTACCCAGTGTTCTTTTTCTGTTCTGGGAACCCATCTGGGATACCATATTACATTTACTTGTCATGTCTCCTTAGGTTTCTTTTGACTATGACAGTTTCTCAGACTTTTTTCTTTTCTTTTTTTTTTCTTTCTTTCTTTCTTTTTTTTTTTTTGATAACCTTGACAGTTTTGAGAAACACTGATTACTGGGGACTCCTAATGTAGGAAGGTAGGAGTAAGGGTTGAAAAACTACCTACTGTATGATATGTTCCCCATTTGAGTGACAAGCTTGATAGAATCCTAAACCTCACCGTCACACAATACACCGATGTAACAAACTTTCACATGTAACCCTTGAATCTAAAATACAATAATTTAATTTAAAATGCTGGTCAGGTATTTTGTAGGGTTCTCCTCTTCTAGGATTTGTCTGATGTTTTTTGGATAATTAGACTGGGGTTATAGGTTTTGGCAAGTAAGACCACAGAGACGTAAGACCCAGCAATATCACTAGTTGCTGTGTCAGATCATCTCAGATAGCCTTGGAACATGTCTTTTAATAGTTGTACAACTTAACTGGTGGTCAGTTTTGGATCCCTTAAAGTTATTTACAAGACCTTGAGTATATCTACCATTTTCTGGGATGAGCTTTTCTAGGTTTCTTCAGATTATTAAGTGCACGTGACTCAGCCCATTCTAGAAACTCAGCTATACATGGTGCTTCATCCTCTGAACTCTTCTGAATCTAAAATCTATAAGGCATACCTAAGTGTTAAACAGCAGTACATTTTTATTACCTAAAGATTACTCTATTTTATTAACATAAAGTAATAGCCATAAAGTTTACAGCTTTAATATTTTCTAAGGATAGATTTCAGGGTTCAGGGCTGGAGCTCATGAGTGCACACACACAAAGTTCCCAAGCAGTGTAGATTTGGGGACTATGTTTAGTAAAAAATCTAAAATATCAGCACATTAAGTAACAAAAAATGGTGCTTGGCTATTCAAGTATCCAACATCCTTTTCTGTTTTATTAAGATGTTTAGGGAAAAGTAGAATTATAGAAATAAACTCATTAGTTCTCAACTTTCAAAACAAACATTATCTACGTCCTTTGGACCTTGTTTTTACAAAATTTAAGAAGTACTGATTTATTGACAAATGAATTATTTTTGCTAAAATGTTGAAATTTCTAATAATACACATAATGTTTAACTATAACAGGTTCTTCTTGCAAAACGGAAACTGGATGGAAAATTTTATGCTGTCAAAGTGCTACAGAAAAAAGTAGTTCTCAACAGAAAAGAGGTAAAATAAAATAGCTATTGTGTCTCCTAAGCCCATTTGCTCAATTAACAGAATTATTTTCAGGTGCATAAGACAATTGATCCTTTACCTTTTTTTTTCCAGCAAAAACATATTATGGCTGAACGTAATGTGCTCTTGAAAAATGTGAAACATCCATTTTTGGTTGGATTGCATTATTCTTTCCAAACAACTGAAAAGCTTTATTTTGTTCTGGATTTTGTTAATGGAGGGGAGGTGAGTTTTATAACTAGTTTTCTAATATTAATAGTTTAGGAAGAAAAGCATAAAGTCATAGTTTTCTTTACACATTTTAGAAGGACCATGCATTATCACCAGCTGTTTGTTCAGTAGCAATAATACTCAAGGTACTAAGTACACTACAAGATGTGAAGTGTAACACAGAGCTCTTAAGCATATGGTATAGTTGGGAAGGTTTGTAAAAGAACCTTGGTGTGAAGCTACAGACTTCATGGACACATCTGTCTGAAGCTATATAGCAAGAATAATATATTGAGATATTAGAATAAAACCTTTGAAATTTAGGTAATTGTATCAATGGTTAAATATAAATATTAACTCCAGCATGTCATTTTCTGAAGTGTGCAAACTGTTAATCAGATTAGATAGTCCTCTAATAAAGGCTTTTGTGGTAAAGTCAGTTTAGGAAATGTTTTATATTATATCCCTTTCTTGGGATTCACAGTATGTTTCAGCATGTTAAACAAAGCCAGGATATCTTGGAGGAATTTTTTTTTTAACCACGCAGTTCCCTTTTTTGTTTGAACCAAATCTGTTAACAATATTTCCCAAAACATTGATTCAGATGGATATTGAAATATGCTTTGAGAAATGCTGCTATTATGATAACTACAGTAATAGCTAACATATATTGAGTATTACTTCAGTGCCCAGCACTCTGGCTCTGTTATATTCATATATTCTTTTATCTTCACCACAACCATGTAAGACAAAGAAACTGAGGCACAGAGAAACTAGGTAGCTTATGAAAGTCATGTGGTTAGTATGCTAGTGGAGACAGGAATTGAACTCAGGTAGTCACTCCAGGATCTAGACGTCTAACCACCGCATACTTCTACTTCTCTGCCCTTACTCCTTTCTAATTCATTTGATCTTTAATCTGTTGATGTATCTGAAAATAATTTTAACTAATAAATATTTTCATATTTTAAAAAGGGATCTTTTGTCTCCCAATCTCAGAGAAGAGAGAGAGGAAAAATAATATTTCAACCTTACTATAGTACGTTTAACTGTAAAATAAATAATCTATAAGGAAGACCAGTTTCTATTCTAGATCATTTTGGGGAGAGGTTATAAAAAGAATCATTACTCACCTCTCTACATCTATTACAGAAGCCCCTTAAAACTCCTAAATATAAAGACACCATGATTTAGTCTTCCTGGCACCCTGATTTAGTGATGTCAATGACTTCACATTGTTCCTACCTTGAATGTTGTCATTTTATTTTTATGTCCCTTAGTGCTAACAGTTAATGGCAATTTATTGAAGCTTGGCACTTTGCAAGTGTTTTACATGTAGTATTCAAGTTAAATCATTACAACTCTTTGAGATAAACACTGTACCCACTTTATAGATAAGGACATTGAGGCTCAGAGAGGTTAAGTTACTTTCTCAGTGTCACAGTGTTCTAGTAAGTATCAGGCTCTGGATTTAACCCAGACATCCCAACTGCAAAGCCCATTAAGTGCCACCATGTCTTTGAAATGTCCATGTGAGGTGTCTGTCTGCAGATGAGATTCTACTGCAAGTTTTCTGCTTTGTGTGTGGTTTTTTTGTGGTGTTTTAGGACTTTGTTTCTAAGCCCTTTTTACACAGTGACTGCTCATAAACTGAGCAGCAAAGATGGAAAAAGGTAGGTTTGTCATCTAAAAGATGTACTTGCCTAAGGTAAAAAAAAGAGAATGACATGTAATGGATTGCATGGGGCAGGTGGAGAGGAGGAGTTGAGTGGGGCAATAGGAAGACAAGGATTAAAGATGAGGGAGGAGAAAGGACAGAGAGAGAGGTGGAGTGTGGTTTCATCATGTGTTCCTTATTATTACTACTGTTATTTCCCCCCCAGTGCTTGCATTTATATTTTGACTTTGACGTGTGATACTTATTTTCGTATACTACTTCATGTCTTTTTTGGAGAAAAGTAGAGTTTAAACTGAGTTTACTATACTGGGCAGATACACAAGCCTTTCTGAGCCTCAATTTCCTCGTTGATTTCCTACCTAAAAATTGTTAGGTAATGTTCACACAGGAGACATCAACATAGAGGTGGTAGTTAAAATAATCAGAATGGATAAGATTACCTGAAAAGGGTATTTGGAGACAGAATAACAGTGGACCAAGGGCAGAAACCATATCATCCTGGCAGCATCTGGAGCCAGTTCCCCTAGTAGTTAAATGCCAGGTGGTAAGAGATTAAGAACTAGGAAGAACAGTAAGTCCCTTTCATACAAACGAGTTTCATTCTGAGAACACATTCATAAGTCCAATTTGTGTGTAAGTCCAACAAAGTTAACCTAGGTACCCAACTGACACAATCGGCTATATATAATACTGTACTGTGCTGTAATAGCTTTATACTACTTTTCACAAAAATAATACTTAAAAAATAAATATACATTACTGTATAGTACACAAAAGCATAACCACTTGTAGAGGATGCATGCACATAACAAGGTATGCCAGACATATGAACTAATTTGCATGATTGGACATGTAAATAAATGCATGTTCACACCTTTGAAAGTCAGAGACTTGAAGGTTGATATGTAGGGGACTTAGTGTATAAGAAATGAACTGGAGAGTTGAATTGCTGCTCAGCTCCAGCCAGTTGCCACTACATTGGCATTTCGACCTGACAGTTCAGGGCTTCCTTTTTTCTTCTTTTTCTTTTTAGAAGAAAACAAAGCTGAATTTTTACCCACCCAGATTATCAATTTTTAATGTTATCAGTGAATTCAGATTTTTCTAAAAACAGTGTTTGGCTCAAGGAAATTATATCTGTGAGTTATATTTGTTCTGCTAGCCACTCATTTTCAATCTCTGAATAGTAGGGTTTTTGTTATTGTTTTGTTTTTAATGAAAAAATCCAGAAAGACCTGGTAATATTATTACATGGCAATATCAACATTGTTGGTCTTCATTGAAAATCTTTTCCAACATGATTGCCTGGAAGGGAGAGGACACCGTGGCACTAAGGATTGAGGAATAAATGGGAAATTAGCAAGGGTAAACAGACATGTGTTTGAAGAGAGAATGATTGTTAGGTGGGGTATGTGGACGAGGTATAGTCACAGTTCTTTGCTTTGGTACATGTTTATCACAAGTTCAAAGTCATAAATACAATTACTTACTTTGTATTTACAGAAAATATTCGTCTAATGCTATGATCCTAACATTCTCCACCCCCAATTTTGCAGCTGTTTTTTCACTTACAAAGAGAACGGTCTTTTCCTGAACACAGAGCTAGGTTTTATGCTGCTGAAATTGCTAGTGCATTGGGTTACTTACACTCCATCAAAATAGTATACAGGTAAAATCTTAAAATACTACTTCTAAAAATGTCTTTTAATATTTATTTCAATTTATATTCAGTTTTGCTTTTTTTTCCCCCTCCTTTTAATTTGATAGAGACTTGAAACCAGAAAATATTCTTTTGGATTCAGTAGTAAGTATTCTTCTTTAAAAATCCACTGTTTCTCATTTTTTTGTTGTTGTTATGATTAGTGGAAGAAAGTCTCAAAGGTTCCATACTGCATAATTTCACCATTTACATAACATTGTCAAAATGATAAAACTATAGAGATGGAGAACAGACAGAGAATGCAAAATTAAAGGATTAGCACAAGGGAATTCTCTTTGTGGTGAAATAGTTCTCTGTCTTGATTGTAGTGGTGGTTACATCTGTATTGCATAGATCTACACAAACGCATGCGCGCATGCGCGCGCACACACACACACACACACACACACACAATAAAACCTGAATAAGGTTGGTAGTCTGGCTAACAGTTTTGTACCAATGTCAATTTCCTGTTTGATATTGTATTGCAGTTATGTAAGATATCAACATTGAGGGAAGCTGAGTGAGGGGTACACCAGACTGTGCTACTTTTGCAATTTCATGTGGATCTATAATTATGTCAAAATAAAGTTTTTTAAAACTATCCATTTATATCCATGCATTGTTTTATCTTACTGCCCTTGTATTTTTCAGGGACATGTTGTCTTAACAGATTTTGGGCTTTGTAAAGAAGGAATTGCTATTTCAGACACCACTACAACATTCTGTGGGACACCAGAGGTAAGAAATTTGTTTCATTTGTCATTTATATAATCATGTATGAAATGCAAATATGAATCACAAATTGCATATATGAATTTTAAATAAGAAAAGTAGACTAAAAACCATCATTTCAGCTTCCAACCAGCTAGAAATATCAGATAATCATCCCTTCTGAACATTTAGAGTTTATTGTTAGGTAGTATTTTTAACTGTGATTGGGAGATATACCATAAAACCTTTCTGAGTAATCCAACAAAGATAAATATGCTTATTTGTTTTTAATATTAAAAGTTTACCTTAGACTTCTTTAACCATTGGATTTTATTTCTTATTCTTTTTAAAAAATCACAAATTAGTGATGAAAATGTCCTAAAATTGATTGTAGTGATAGTTGTACAACTCTGCAAATATGTCAACAGCCATTGAATTGTACACTTTAAGTGGGTAAGTTGCGTGGTATGTGAATATATTAATATAGCTTTTTTTTAATGAGCTAAAGCAAATATGGCAAAATATTAACATTGCCTACATTTGGGTTGCAGCTTTACTGGTTTCTATTATACTTTTCTGTGTGGTTAAAATGTTTTATTAAAAAATTGTTTCTTTAAAGAAAAAAGCAGTGGATGTGAGAAACAATCATGAATCAGAATTTATTAACTTGAACATCCCATTCTCTAATCATATTAACTAGCAGAAAACATTTCTTTCTATTTGTGACAATAATAATAATCCTTACAATTTATTTAAAAGTCTTACTATTCTCACTTCACATATCCAAGTTAAGTTTATTTTAAACAGTCCTAATTTCAGTGTATTTACAGTGATCTTAGTTGTCATATAATGTTTCATTATTGTGGCATACTTGTAAGTACAATATTAAAAATTGTGTGATAAAATAAAAAAATTGTGTGATAAAATAGCTTACACGAACCTCTAATGGAGATCAGAAACTTAATTAAAAGTACCTATCAGTCTCAAACCAGGTGAAGTGGGGACCAAAGTGAGACCCAAACTTTACCTGTACAAATACCAATTGTACCCCACATCTTTAAAATAAAAATTTTAAAAATTAAAAAGTACCTATCAATAACAATTGTCTGCCTTGAAATGTATTTTTTTCTTCCTTTCTCTCTTCTAACCCTAGCTCTTATATATATTTTAATCAGCCTATTTTGGTTTTTTACATAAAGGCACATTTTTTTATGTATGTTGATTTTACAGTTAAAATCTCAAGTTCTGTAATTTTTAGAAAAGACCGAGTTTTTTAGAGTCAGGTTCTCACTCTGTTGCTCAGGCTAGAGCGCAGTGGCATAATCATAGCTCACTGCAGCCTTGACCTGGGGTCAGGCAATCCTTCCACCTCAGCCTCCTGAGTAGTACACGCCACCACACCTGGCTAATTTTTTTATTTTTCGTGGAGACGAGGTCTCACCATGTTGCCCACACTAGTCTCTAACTCCTAGGCTCAAATAATCCTCTCATCTCTGCCTCCCAAAGTGGTGGGATTCTAGGCACACTGGTCTCTAACTCCTGGGCTCAAGTAATCCTCTCATCTCTGCCTCCCAAAGTGGTGGGATTCTAGGCATGAGCCACTGTGCCTGGCCAGGAATTATTAAACCCTTTTTATATATTTTTCCATTGCTATGGATCACATAAAAAGATTAAGAAGAAATTATTTCCTTACATATATTTTATGTGGGGAGAGATAATATATTTGGAATTTAAAATTCCAATTTTTTCTTTCACTGAGAAGGAAAAAAATGGATTCTAGTTGCCACATGAAGTCTTTCTTCAAGGGGAAAACCTTACAAATAATGACCACATTAATTTCTAAAATAAATTCATCTTGTGAAGGACTTTTCCCCAAAATACTACTTTATCTACTTACTGAGTTCTACATTTGTTGTTCTCTTCCAGTTATCTTAACTGCATCAGTTTCAGAAGAGAAGTACATAAACATAATGTTTGGGGTTTTTTGAGTTGGAGTCTTACTCTTGTTGCCCAGGCTGGAGTACAGTGGCATGCTCACGGCCACCGCAGCCTTGACGTGCTGGGCTTAGGCGATCCTTCTGCCTCAGCCTTCCAAGTAGCTGGGACTACAGAGGCACGCCACCTCACCTGGCTAGTTTTTGTGATTTATTGTAGCGACAAGGGCTCACCCAGTTGCCCAGGCTGGTCTCGAACCCCCAGACTCAGGCAGTCAGTCCTCTCGCCTTGACCTCCCAAAGTGCTGGGATTACAGGCTGAGCCACCGCTCCCGGCCAACATCTGTATTTTGAAGTGTCCTAGTTGACACTACCTAAGAACCACTGGCATAAAATGAGAACACCAAACCCTCTGAAAACCTAGATAATAAGTTTTTAGCATGATAGGTAATACCTAAAATTTGTAAAATTTCTCCGTTATCCCTAAGTTTTATCTTAATCTATGTATTGAGTTGCTGCAATATTTTATTCTTTTTCTACAGTACCTTGCACCGGAAGTAATCAGAAAACAGCCCTATGACAACACTGTGGATTGGTGGTGCCTTGGCGCTGTTCTGTATGAAATGCTGTATGGCTTGGTACGTGTTTCTGGACTTTGTTTTTCCAGTTTATTCCCATTGACTTGGCTCTGCCTGCCTGCCTGCCGTTCTTCCTTCGTAACCTCACGGACTTCTAGACGACCCCGGCAGCGGAGAAATAGCCTGGCGACGTGAGTCAAAAACCACGTTAGGAATAGCACAGAAAGAAAAGCTTTTTATCGTGTCGCTCACCACCCGAATTCCTACTTCAGGTGTACTCATCCCACTGGCACTTTCAGTAATAAGCACCTAGTTGTAACCACCTGCTTTCATTTTCATAGTAAAATTGTTTGCTTTCTTCTTCGGTTTACCGCAGACATCATTCTGCCTAATTTCAAAAACATGCAAAGAAAATTATTTTTGCATCTATCAACACTTACTTAAAGGTATTTTAGAAGATAATGCCTTTTGTTTTTTGCCTTTAGTTTTGTTTTTATTGGATTAAATGAATACATTGGTGTTCACCTTTTCCCATCACTAGAGATCACCCTTTATTCTTTTCCCTTGAAACCACCACGTTGCAAAGATTTTATTGAAAAAAATGAAATTTAACTATGCAATTGATTTCCACAGCTTTTACTAGTTAAAGACACCTAAGACCACCTAGAGCTGCTGATTAACATGTAAAGTTGTTTTACTGTATTAATATTGTCCCAACCCAAAGCAAACAATTTAAGCCTTTTAGTTAGCTTACATATCTTAATAAGAATAAGCACACATTTTTATTTAGGCTTTCTGAAATATTTCAGATAATTTCTAGACTCCCTTTGTGGTCCCTCAAATGTCCAGCAGCCTTATGCTGGGAACCACATGCACATCTCTGAGGTTGTTGCCACCATTGATGCAGAATGCCACCATCAGCTGAGACCTGAGCTGGAGTGTTTGTTTTTGTTTTTTTTTCCTGAAAACGGGAAACTTTCAATGAAATTCACATGAGGTGCATTTTAGAGCATTTGTTTCATGTTGCTAATTTTGAGTGGTAGGTTTCTGTAAAAGCCAGCATTGTCTCTTCCTTTTCCTTGATTATGATCTGTTTGTTAAAAGATCTAGTCTTCTGGTTATGCTTCTGACTTAGAAAAAGCTTTGGGAAACCACTGTACATCGATCCTCCTTTCTTCAAGCACTGGCTATTGCTACCTTGATATTTCAAATCCTTTGAATATCTTTAGAGGATTTTGAAATTATAAAATATCATTGTTTATAAGATGCAGTTGATTTAAAAGGGAACTTTTTGAAACATATACTTCATAAATAAGACTTATATTGGCTTTTTAAAAATGAAGTTATATTTTAAAAGGCAAAAAAGAAAGTCTCTTCTTTCCTATGGAAAAAAAAGCAAGCCGGGCTCAGTGGCTCAGCCTGTAACCCTGCGCCTTTGGGAGGCTGAGGTGAGTGGATTGCCTGAGCCTGCGGGTTTGAGACCTGCCTGGGCAACTTGGCAAGACCTCATCTCTCCAATAAATCAAAAAACTAGCCGAGCGTGGTCGCGCGTGCCTGTAGTAGTTCCAGCTACTCGGAAGGCTGAGGCGGAAGGATCACCGGAGCCCAGCAGGCGAGGCTGCAGTGGCCAGGAGCGGCCACTGCACTCCAGTCTGAGCGACAGAGTGAGACTCCAACTCAAAAAAAAAAGAAAAGTGACAAGTTTATAAAACTTCTTTAACTTTAAAAATTATTTTTACTGTAAACCTTTTAATTAGGCTTCTCATGTGGAAACTGTACCCTAAGTCTTTAAGCAATGACATTAGCATTTTAATTCTGCAGAATACATTCATAATGCTGTCACTGTCAAAAGTACTTAGGAAGGAGCATTATCTTCAGGTTTCCATCTCTACTAGAAATCTCTTTGTTTTGGTGAGCTTATTCCCAATTCTCAAGAAATTATATGTTTGATCTGTCTTGAATCTCCATCTCCAGTAATTCTATCATTATGCCTATGATGAGATTGATGTTTTTCTCTCAGACAGATACTGTTACAAGTTGTATGCAATTTAACAGTTTTCTACAAGGTGCTATTGCATAAACTGGTCCTAATTCACTCAGTGATGTTTATTAAGCTCTGTGATGTGCTGGGTTTTAGAATCTCTGCGTCGGGAGGCCACACTGCACATGTTTTCATACTCCTATAGGCCCACACATTTCTTCTATTGTCCAACCCTGACTGCTCCCTGCAGATCAAAGCCAAATTTAACTAATTTAACCCCATTTTGCCACAATGCAATTTCCACTAAGTTTCTATATTTTTCTTTTTTTCCCCAGCCTCCTTTTTATTGCCGAGATGTTGCTGAAATGTATGACAATATCCTTCACAAGCCCTTAAGTTTGAGACCAGGAGTGAGCCTCACAGCCTGGTCTATTCTGGAAGAGCTCCTAGAAAAAGACAGGCAAAATCGTCTTGGTGCCAAAGAAGATTTTGTATGTAGCATGTTTCCCAGTTCCAGCTATATTTAAACTTATTTAAAATTTGGAGATAAAACTTTATATGGTATTTAATGGAATGAATACAACTATGGAGAACAGCACCATGGAAAAAAACATACTTGTCTCATAGTTTTCACCCATGTAAAATAAAACTGTATAGTATTTCAAGCACTTTCACTTGCTATTTTTCATTTGGTTGCTATAACAATTTGGTCCTCTCCTCTTCATCTTCTCCACATACAGCTTTCATGCCCTATTATTTATTTTATTTTAATTTACTAAAATTTCCCCTTCCCCTCCTCCTCCTTTTAAAAAAAATGTTGCATAACATGTTTTCAACTACCTAAGCTTTTTTTATAATTTTAATTTTTATTGCTAAATAATACTAGCATTTTTATAAACTAATCAACTAGGAGTACCTAAAGTTTTAAATCACTTAAAAATTTTATGTATTTATTTATTTATTTAAAGCAGGATTTATTAACAGGACAGAAAAACTCCCACAGTGGGGGAAGACCCAAGGAGGTTGCCCTAAATCATTTTTTAAAATAATTTATTAAGTAGGCTGGATACAGTGGCTCACACCTACAATCCCAGTACTTTGGCAGGCTGAGAAAGGAGGATTGCTTGAGCCCAGGAGTTTGAGGCCAGCTGAAGCAACATAGGGAGACTCTGTCTCTACACAAAAATCAAAAAATTAGCTGGATGTGGTGGTGCACACCTGTAGTCCCAACTACTCAGGAATTTGAGGCAGGTGAACTGCTTGAGCACAGGATTTGGAGGCTGTGGCGATCTATGATTGTGCCACTGCACTCTAGCCTGGGCAACATAGTGAGATCTCAACTCTAAAAAAAAAAGAATTTAACTGCCTTCTGTCTATACGAGGTAATACTTTTGCCTTGAACTAACATTAAATCGGTTTTTTGATTTTTTTTTTTTTCTAGAATTTGGTGATACTTCCTTGAGATAAATTAGGGGATCTGCACGTTTGTTTCAAAGCAGGGTGATTAAATTCTCAGTGTAGTTACCAGTGTTAGTGTATCAGTAAATTCACAAACTATTGAGGACCATGAACTTTTACATTCTTTTCTCAGATATTCTTGGAAGCCGTTTTATCAGTCTTGAACTTGAGCTATGAATAAAAGACTTCCCTGCTGTTGCCTTCTCATTCCTCCTGTTCCCCAGTTCAGCTGGTAATTGTGTCAGCAATATCGTGTCCATTGTTTCAGTCAGTCTTGTTAATGTTCCACCCCTCTTTGTCTACTGATCTTTTTATTGAATTCACTGGCAGAAATTGCAACCTTGGATAAATTCAGTTGTCACCTCCTGGGCTGCTGAACAGTGCTGAACAAAGTAACACAACTGGGCATATTAAAAGCACTGTAACCTGAACCTCTTGAACCTCTTCTGTGCTTCACCACTGTTTGATAATCCTCCTGTGTTTCTCTGTTTAGCTTACTGGCCTGATCTGTGTATTAACTATTTCACACCTTCTCTCCAAACTTCCAGATTCCCTCTTGTTCTTCACTTTTAGCAGATGATCTTGCCTTCTATTTTATAAGGAAAACAGAACATCAGAGAGGAACTGACTCTGCTTCCTGTTATCAAATTTGTAGACCTCCCAGCACTTTGGGAGGCAGAAGTGAGCAGACTGCCTAAGCCCATGGGTTCAAGAACAGCCTGGGCAATTTGGCCAAGACCACATCTCTACAATAAATCAAAGAAATTAGCTGGGTGTGGTAGCACATGCCTGTGGTTCTGGCTACTTGGAAGGCTGAGGTGGAAGAATCACCTGAGCCCAGCAGGTCGATGCTGGGGTGGCCATGAGCATGCCTATATATACCTGCAAGAACCTGTGATTTCTTTCTTCCTATTAGAGTGGAAGATAACTGTTTTTGCCTATGCACTGGATCCTGTCCACTTTCAAGAAACTCTGTGCTTTTTTTCTGCACAGATAACTGCCACCTTTTGTTCTGGTTCCTTCTAATCAATAATTAAATGTTTTCAGGTCCCTTGCTTCTTAAAACAATTCTCAGCCCTACTGTCCTGCAAGGTACTCTCTATCCTCTTCCCTTCTTAGCTAAACTTGTTGAAAGTTTCCTGTATTCACTCTCCCTTTTCCAAGCTTTCTCATTTCTCAGTCTACCATAAAATAACCAGTAGAATTACTGGATACTTCTATTCCTCTGCTTACACTCTCAGCAGCATTTAAACTTGTAACACTCTCCTGTTCTCTTGGCTTCTGAAGGGCACTCTCTCATCTCATCTCATGCTTCCTTTTCTGTATTTCTGGGCCTTCCTCCATTTCTTTCTTATGTAAGCTCCTCTTCAACCTATTAAGTGTTACAATTTCTTGTTACTATCCTAAACCCTCTTTTCCTCTGTGTTCTCTTTCTGGACAATTTCAATTGGTCTCGTGGTGTTAATTATCTATATGCCTGTATCGCACATGTTTATATCTTCCAGATCTCTCTTCTGAACTCTAGACTTACACAATATCTGCCTGCTCCACACCACCACTTCGATTTTTTTGACAGTACCTCAAACACAGTATGTTCAAAATTGAACTTCTGCTGTTGTCCTTCTGTGCTCCCTTTCATATTAAAGGACATCACTATCCGTATGATTATTCAGATGAGAAATCTAGGACGCATTCTTGACTCTTAAGTCTTTCTTCTGTATTTAACAAACAGCCAGTTTCTGTTATATTTGCTGCCTAAGTCTTTCCCATATCCAGATACTTCTGTCTCTCCTGGCTGCTACTACTCTTTTCCTACCATCAGTTGTCTTTAGTTTGGCTATGGTGGTTATTTTTCCTTTATCTAGTCTTGACTCTCCAAACCATTTTTCCTTGTAGCCAAGGTGGTTCTTAAAGAAACACTTGTAACTGAAGCTCCTTGATGGCTTCCTATAACCCTATAATAAAATCCAAAATTCTTAATGTAGACCTGATATGATATGACTGGTTTAGCTCCTAGGCTTCTCTTTATGTGACAGTCCCCTCCTTCCCCATACCACAACCATATTGGACTCTCATTTTATTGATCTTTGCCACCTCATGACCTTTCTGTTCTACTTGGAACATGCTCCCCTCATTCTTTTATCTGGCTTATTATTACTCACCTTTCAGACCCCCTTTCATCACTTTCTTTAAGAAGTCTTTTTTAACCCACCAAACTAGATTGGATTCTACTTTACACACTACCGTGGCACTTTGCAGGGAAAAAAAAGCTAGAGTCAATACTGTGCCAACTTTAGTAGTACCAATCCAAAGTGGGATTTTTTTTTGGTAATAGATAGAGCTCATGACCTTAGTGACCTCATGACCTCTACCCCACTGAATAAAACCCTCTACTCGACGACTTCTTTACCTCCCCTACTCCAGTAATAGTACTGTTTTCTTTGTACTTATGTAGTGCTTTATTCTTTTCGCAGCATTTTTATTTCCATATTTTATTTTGATTCTTAAAACAACTTGTGGTGTTTAGGGCAGAATTTTTTTCTTTTTTTTTGAGTTGGAGTCTTATTCTGTCTCCCAGGCTGGAGAGCAGTGGCATGCTCATGGACACCCCAGCATCGACCTGCTGGGCTCTGGCAATTTTTCCGCCTCAGCCTTCCAAGTAGCCAGAACTACAGGTGCGCACTACCACGCCCGGCTAATTTTTTTTTGTTCATTGTAGAGATGAGGTCTTGCCAAGTTGCCCGTGCTGGCCTCGAACCCGCGGGCTCAGGCAATCCACTTGCCTCAGCCTCCCAAAGTGCTGGGATTACAGGCTGAGCCACTGAACCCAGCCAGGGCAGAAATGTTAACTCCATTTTACCTCTGAGGAGACTATGACTGTAAAGAAGATATAACTTAAGTTTAAGTAAGTCATTCTAAGTAATTTGTTTCAGGTCTATTCTGGTAGTTTTTTTTTACCACTTACATGAATAATGTCATTTTTCTTTATGAATAACACAAACATGTGCCTAAGAAGAATTATTGAGGGGTTAAGTGGTAATGGTTTGGCTTCGTAAAATTCTTCAGTTGGTATACGATCAAATCTTCAGCATTAGTTTTAAAAAATGTATTTTTTTTTTAATATTCTAGCTTGAAATTCAGAATCATCCTTTTTTTGAATCACTCAGCTGGACTGACCTCATACAAAAGAAGATTCCACCACCATTTAATCCCAATGTGGTAAGTATATTTTCAAACCTTTCTTTCTAAAACAGTTACGCACAGAACTACAGTGCATTAAAATTTTGGAAATAGATCTCAGAATGGAGTGATTGCCTAAATATGCATGAAATACGTCACCCAGGGTTGTCCACTACAACTAATGACTGGCTGACTCATTTCATATAGTGCATCCAGAAACTGACTGTTTCGAAAATGATTCCATTAGGGACAGTTTCTGTCCCAAATTTCTAGAGTTTGTAATAGAAACCTAGGACTCTTAAGAATTATATTTTCTGAGCCCGCGGGTTCGAGACCCACATGGGCAACTTGGTGAGACCTCATCTCTACAGTAAGTCAAAAAATTAGCCGGGTGTGGTAGCGTGCACCTGTAGTTCCAGCTACTTGGAAGGCTGAGGTGGAAGGATCACCAGAGCCCAGCAGATCGAGGCTGTGGTGGCCGTGAGTGGCCACTGCACTCCAGTCTGGACAACCGAGTGAGACTCCAACTCAAAAAAAAAAAAAAAAAGAATTATATTTTTCTTCAGATTGAAAATGCTGGCAGAATGTAGTTATCCCCAAATAAAAGCATCATTGGTCACATTAGAGCGTTAGAGACTCCTTTTAAACAACATGGAAAATGGAAGCAATGTTGACTTCACTGTTAGCTAGTTCTAACTTTGTCTCCCTGCTCATCTATGTTTAATTAGAGTTTAAGCCTCTCCACACTTTTTTTTTTTTTACTTTTTTTTAACTTTTTTTGCTTTTTTCTAACATGGGCTGTGAGGTTTAATTTAGATGGCATTTGCAAAAGCGTCTGAGTGCACACAGTAGATAGTCAATTAATTTTAGTTCCTTTCTCCCTTTCTCTCCATTTAGGAACTTGTCTATTAAGTAGTTATTGTTAACTTAGTTAGAAAATACAAATAAGTAGGATGTGGGCTCTGTCTTACGGTTTATTAAAAAAATAAACTATATAAAGAAAAGAGTTTAGCACATATTAGGCATTCAGTATTTTGACTGAATTAAAATAGATAACAAAACAAAAAAAAAGATGCCTCATAATAACGTATGATTACACTTATGGGGGGAAAAGCAGTTGACAGAAATTGTCTTTGACGCTTACACTCCCAGTGAACAAAGGAATTAATTGATTTTTTTTTTTAGTCCCATTGGTATTTTATATTTTAATAGGGCTAGTTACTAGGAAAAGGAAGATTTGGATTATTGACCATGCTGGGGTGGACGTGAGCATGCCACTGCTATCCAGCCTGAGAAACATGATGAGACTCCAATTTTAAAAATTTTGTAATGTCTTTATCAGTTGTTATATTAATGCATTTGATTTAATAAGCAGTTTGTAAACTATAAAAGCATTAAACAAATGTGAGACTAGAATTTGCATGGGGAATGGTTGACACACATGTCTGTGTGAGTTTGACCAGTATAGTATAACTTCCTCTGAAGAGAGAGGACGTGATGTGGAGCTGCAGTGGAAATAGCCTGGCTATGCTCCAAAATGGGTCATTCAGAAGCCATATCTCTGGGGTTGGTCTGAACCTAGGGGAGAGACTGGAACCATCATAACAATTCTGTAGCCTGAAAGAAAATGTTTGTTTCTAGTTCAGTGAATTCCCTTATATTAATGGTTTTTAAAATTAGTTTAGTGTTTAAGGGTTTGGCTGAGGTGAGAAATGGTTACTGAGGAAGTAAAGAGTTCAGGAAGGGACAGATTGGATTGAGTGTATGTATTAGTACCAGGACATATTTATGCTATAAATTTCCAAATACAGGAGAAGAGAAAAGGAATGAACTTTGTGTCCAACTGTGTGTCCAGCATTGTGTCAGGTCCTTTATATGTATTGCCTTGGTTCCTCTGAGGAATTAAAACCTAGGTATACATCTGACTCCAAACCATACCACCTAAAAGTCAAGTCCTAAGATAATATTTTTTGTGTATAATCTTGAAGTGATGAACACTTTTTTTTTTTTTTTTTGAGAAAGCAGAATTTATTGAGAGGATGGAAAAGCTCCTATAGTGGGAGGGGACCCAAAGGGGTTGTCCTGAAGATCACTTTATAAAGTACAATCCACAACCCAGAAATCATAAAAGAAAAAAATTGGTAGAGTTGACCACTGAGATTTAGAAATATCTACATTTAAAAATACTACAAATAACATGCTGGGCGCAGCAACTCATGTCTGTAATCCCAACTCTTTGGGAGACTGAGGTGGGAGGAGGACTGCTTGAGCCCAGGAGTTCAAGACCAGCTTGGGCAACATAGTACAACCTTATCTCTACAATAAATCAAAAAATTAGCCAGGCATGGTGGCATGTGCCTCTAGTCTCAGCTACTTGGGATACTGAGGCAGAAGGATCACCTGAGCCCAGGAAGTCAAGGCTGCTGTGAACCCTGATTGTTGTGATCATGCACTGCACTCCAGCCTGGGTGACAGAGTAAGACTCCAGTTCAAAAAAAAATACAGCAAACTGGGGAAATTGTTCTTAGGACATGAAGCACTTTTACAAATAAATGAGAAAAAATGACCAACAACCAATAGAAATGTGGACAAAAGGCACAAAACTTGCAATTACAGGGAAAAAAGAAAAGGTAGTTTTTAATTATATGAAAAGATGTTCAAATTCACAGTTGAAGAGTGCAATATTAAACCATAACAGGTTATCATTTTTCACATAACAAATTAACACAGATAAAAAAGTTAGCTCTTCTAGCTGGGCTCAGTGGCTCAGCCTGTAATCCTGTGCTTTGGGAGGCCGAGGTGAGTGAATTGCCTGAGCCCGCAGGTTCGAGACCCGCCTGGGCAACTTGGTGAGACCTTATCTCTACAATAAAAAAAATCAAAAAATTAGCCGGGTGTGGTAGCACGCGCCTGTAGTTCCAACTACTTGGAAGGCTGAAGCAGAAGGCTTGCGGTGGCCAGGAACGTGCCACTGCACTCCAGTCTGGACGACGGAGTGAGATTCCAACTCAAACAACAACAGCAGCAGCAACAAAAGTTAGCTCTTCTAGAGTATAATGAAATTATACACTAGTTTCAGTTCTTTACATGTATCCTTTTAACTTAATCTTAACAACAATCCTATGAGATACTATTGTTATTTTCCATATATTATGGATGAGAAAAGGTTAAATAACTTGCCCAAAAATTTAGTTAAAGTTGCAGAACTAGAATTTGAATTTCAGACATTCTGAAGACAGAGCCTTCACTCTTAACATAAGGTTGAGTATCCCTTAATCCAGAATGCTTGGGACCAGAAGTATTTTGGATTTTGAAGATTTTTGGATTTGGGGATATTTGCGTTATACTTACCAGTTGAACAGCCTAAATCTGAAAATCTGAACTCTGAAATGCTTCAGTGAGCATTTCCTTTGAGTGTCATGTAGACTCTCAAGAATTTTTGGATTTTCAGATTTGAGATACTCAACTTATATTATTCCTGTCAGTACTGACCATGAGGACATTACAAAGCCAAGTCAAAGGACATTTACTATCTATCTTCATATGTGTCATATTCTGGGAATTTTATGTATTAACTCATCAGATCCTCACGACAACATTAAGAGAGGTAGACAATAGTATTCTTATTTTACAGAAGAGGAGACAAGCTCATCGAGATAAAGTAGTTTATACAAAGAATTACAGCTAGAAAATTTCATAGCCAGAATCCAAGAGCCCATGCTTCTAGGACTATGTATAAGAATTTGATGCGGACAAACATACATACTTATATATATGTATATAATTTTTAGCATTCTTTGTCCTCTGTGGGGGATTTTCTCATATGGAAGGATCTAGCATTCTGGGTTTCCCAGTCTCTGCTCAGTTTGTAGATGTATCAAGCTAACTATTGTCCTTGGCTTATAATATCTACTCTGAATTCCTGTCTGTTTACCTTAGTTAGACTTGATGACTTGAACATCTTAAGGATTCCCTTCCCTGTAGAGCAAAAATAGCCTAGAGCTTCAGGGATGAACTTAAAAAATGAATCACCTGAATTGGTATCCTGGTTTTTGTCTGGAAATATACTGGAAAGGTAGAGATTATTGGTTTATATCAGATTTGTAAAGGTAGATTAGAAACCACTGCCTTCGAGCCTAAACAGCCACTGTGCTTCTATTTTCTGTATAATTGGACCCCATAGCCCTTAGAGCTAAGGATACCCTAGCCAAATGCTTCATGGCTTTCTTTGTAGCACAATAAGAGTCACTTTTAAAATTTTACTTATAGCCCCTTCATTCCTTTATCAGAAGGCTTCACCTACCCAGGATTCAGATACTGAATGGATAGGCATTTTATGGAAACTCAAATGCAAAGTACCATCCTGAAAACCTACCTGAGCCCCTAAGAAATGGGATTAATTACCGGCTAGAATTTCAAATTAGCGTAAGTAAGGTCTCTGTGAGCCTTCCTCACTCCACCCAAAAGAACTTTATCTGTTAGAACAGATAACTTCACCTAAATAATAAAGGTCAGGAAAGGAAAAGCAGAAAAATGTTTTAAAGAAGTGAATTAGGAAGACATCTAAACTTGCCAGGAATAAATACACAAATTTATAAAGGAGTTTCAATAAAGGACTAAATTAAAGAAAAGCTAAGGTGAATAATACTATGCTTTTGATGTTTTAGGCTGGACCAGATGATATCAGGAATTTTGACACAGCATTTACTGAAGAAACAGTTCCATATTCTGTGTGTGTGTCTTCTGACTATTCAATAGTGAATGCCAGTGTATTGGAGGCAGACGATGCATTCGTTGGTTTCTCTTACGCACCTCCTTCAGAAGACTTGTTTTTGTGAACAGTTTGCCTTTCAGAACCAATTGAGCAAATATAAGTCTACTGATGGAACTGAAATTCCTATTTGTGTGAATATACTCAAATATGTATAACTAGTGCCTCATTTTTACATATAATGTTGAAAACTATGAAAAAATGTGTTTTCTGCTATATGCAAGAAAATAGGGCATTTCAAAGAGCTAAGTTTTGATTAAGATTTGTATCCTTGTTTATTAAGCTTATTTTTAAATAGAAATTTTAAAAGCTGTTATTCTTAATGTTAACCTATTTTTAAAGAAAACTTTTTTGCTATTGACTGTTTTTTTCCCTCTAAGTTTACACTAACATCTACCCAAGATAGACTGTTTTTTAACAGTCTGTTTCAGCTCAGTTAACTTATATTAATACCTTTGTAACTCTCTACTATGACTTTTGTTATCAAATCAGAACTATGCAATTGGTACATGGTTGTTACAGAAGAAACCATATCTTTCCCTGAAGTCACTATTTGAAATAATCAGTTCATGGTAGGATTAAAGCATAAAAGTATAATTAACACATTGGCTGCTAGTTAACTTGGAATAATTGTTCATTCTGCAGGTCATTTAAGAAGTAACAAAAGGAAATCACTTGCTTTTGAAATACCAATTCAAATTTGTGGATTATTTTTCCTATGGAGGAAAATAAAAGTTCAATGGTTAGAAATTTTTAGTGTTCCCAAAGATCTGAAGGGTAATAAAGTACTGCTGGGTTTTTTAGGCGGTACCAAACATGAATGTCTCTGTGTCATATATTTATATTTCAGATATAGTCTATTTATGTTCCTATTGATCCTTTGAATGTTTACTATACTGTTAAATAGTTCTAAATATTTTTATTTGCTTTTGCAAGTAGCTATCTCAAAATTCTCTTTCTAATTAGTTAAGCAAAAAAAAAAATTGAGCTTTATAGAATATTTGCTTAACTGGAAATTAAAAAGTAAAATAACCAATTATGGCTCAATTTAAATGTATGTAATTTCATTACAGTGTTACAAAAGTTAAAATAATTCAGGCAGATGCATATTTGTATCTTATGTATATTAGAAAAAGTACAGGAAACTGCCCTTAAGATTATAACATACCAATTAACATGCTTGTATAGGTAAAAGAGAATAATATAGAAAAGCTACAAAAGAACGCTTAACTTGAAATTCTGATTCTTAGCTTAGAGGTTTTTCCAGTCATGTAGGAAATATTGTGAAAGAATTTAATGACCCAACTTAGATGCTCCGAGAATAAGCATCTCTTCCATCTATTTCTTGAGAATGATATCACAAAAGCATTTTTCACCAATGCTCTGGCTTTAAAATGTTAAACAGAATTTATAGGGGGTAGGGGAAGGGCCATATACTTTTGTTAGGTTAACAATATTTACATCCAATACACTGAATCTTCCTTTAGAGGTAAGACTTTAATACTGCACTGTAAATATTTTGTTTATTTGGCACTACTGTAAGTTTAACTTTTACACAAACCTCTTTGCTTATTATAAAGCAAAATAAAAATTGTAATTTCTTGTATGATTTTCTTTATACTCAGTCATTTCTTAATTAAACTGCCAAAAATTAAAGTACAATGTTGTATATTTTTAAAATCAAGTTTAAGAGAATTTTGTTGTTTCTCAGATCACAAGAAATACAAATCTATATAGTATAATAAAACTAGCAAAAAGATTAATGATCATCTAATGTCTGTCATTATTTGAACTTAAAATTGATGATGGTTACAATGATCATTACAAAATGAATTATTTATGTGTGAGAGGAAAAGTGTAAAATTTTAATAGAAGAAATTTGGACATATGAATTACTAGATTGTCATGGGTTGATGTGTATAATACCGAGGGAAGAAAATTTCTACCAAGTTTCAAGTTTATCTTTTCTCCCATAGCATAAGTCTTCTAGAAAAATGAGATCGGGCACAGTGGCTCAGCCTGTAATCCCAACACTTTGGGAGGCCAAGGCGAGAGGATTGCCTAATTCTGGGGTTTGAGACCAGCCTGGGCAACTTGGTGAGACCTCGTCTCTACAATAAATCACAAAATATTAGCGGGGCATGATGGCATGCATCTGCAGTTCCAGCTACTTGGAAGGCTGAGGCAGAAGGATCACCTAGGCCCAGCAGGTCAAGGCTGCAGTGGCTGTGAGCATGCCACTGCACTCCAGCCTGTGCGATGGGGAGAGACTTAGACTAAAAAAAAAATAAAACTATATGCTCTTTGGATAGTTGAACCATTTCATGTCATTACCAAAGTAAATTCAAAGGTCTATATGAAGGCAAAAACAACATTCTTCATGTTACCTGTACCTTTTATTTTATTGCCTATGGTATAATGCAGGGCTTCCCAACTATTGTCATATTATAATACCACTGATAATTACATAGTGCATCTGGCACACCTGGGGAATACGTGCCAAACATAGGGCATAGTGGCTCAAGCCTGTAATCCCAGCAATTTGGGAGGCTGTGGTGAGGGGATTGCCTGAGCCCACAGGTTTCAGAACAGCCTGAGCAACTTGACGAAACCTCATCTTTACAGTAAATCAAAATTAGCTGGGCATAGTAGCACGAGCCTGTAGTTCTGGCTACTTGGAAGGCTGAGGTGGAAGGATAGCCTGAGCCCAGCAGATTGACGCTGGGGTACACTGTACTCCAACCTGGGCGGTAGAGTGAGACTCCAGCTCAAAAAAAAAAAAAAAAAACTGTACACAAATATTTTGTACGTCACTCTTTTGTACATATATACATTCTGAAACATCAGAGTGAATAGGCAGGAACACTTTTAGTAAATCTGGAATGAGCTTTTCAGTACAGTGTATTAAAACTGATAATCCTTCATACATGCAATTTGGAAGTTAGCTCTGTTTTTGGAGTTGGTTTTTCTGCTGCTTACCTTTAATGGCAGTTTTTCCTTTTGTTGGATTTTACAGATTTTTCTACTCCCAAGGTGATTGTTATATGTGTCTTAGAGTCCATTTGGGCTGCTAGACCAAAATACTGTAAATTGGGTGGCTTATAAACAACAAACATTTATTTCTCATAGTTCTGGAGGCTGGAGTCCAAAATAAACGGTATTTTGGTATCTGATGGGGGCTCTTCCTCACAGATGGAGCCTTCTCACATGTGAAAAGGGGCTAATTAGCTCTCTGAGTGCGTTAATCCCGTTTACTAACCAAAAGCCCCACCTCTCAGTACTATCACATTTGGGATGAGACTTCAGCATATGAATTTTGTGTAGATACAAACATTTAGACCACAGCAATATGAAACCCTGAAGTGTACGTAGATGAGTTTCAGGTGACTTGAGTGCCTTGAAGTGATGTACCAAGTTTTCTGTGTAAATGAGATCAGTGGGCGTAAAGGAGAGGGTTCTTTGCCACTTTTCCTTTACTCACCTAATAGATAAATTAGGGGCCAGCCATGGTGGTTCATACCTGTAATTCCAGTGCTATGTGAGGCTGAAGCAGGAGGACCAGTTGAGACCAAGTGTTCAAGACCAGTCTGGACAACATAGTGAGACCCTGTCCTTGCAAAATAAAAAAAAAATATTAGCCAGGCATAGTGGCATGTGCCTCTAGTCCTAGCTACTCAGGAAGCTGAGGCGGAATGATTGCTTAAGCCCAGGTGTTCTTGGTTACAGTGAGCTATAGTTACAACAGGGCACTCCAGACTGAATGATGAAGTGAGACTCTTGTCTCTTTTTAAAAAATAAGAAAAAAAATTGGGAAGAAGAGAGAGTCATTATTCTCTAAATTTCCTAATGGCATTCCAGTGGGAGGTATATGAGATGGAACCAGAATTATTTTTTTGAAGGGCAGGCCCCTTGTGGTACAGGCTTCTCCCACTAGGTAAGTGTTCTAGGAACCCATTGGCATCAGTGTGCCAACTAGCATTGTTGAGAGGCTGCATTCAGCTTCAGTGAATTTTTCAGCGTGTTTGCCCATTTCATGATGGATGATTTATAAGCATACCTGCCCACACCACACTGAGTGTTCAGCGGTTTTGGAGCAAAAATATCATGACCCCCATTGTCCCATCCTACCTATTCACCTGATCTCATCCCAAGAGGTTTTTTTTTGTTGTTGTTTCCCCAGATGAAAAAAGACCTCAAAAGGAAATATTTTGCAGAAGAGGTAGAAGAGATGAAACAAAAAATGGCAGAAACACAAAAGGCTTCAAGATTGATGAGTTCAAAATTGTTGTGAGCAGTGCAAAAAGTGTCTCAATAGGTGTATTGCATCAAATGGAGGGTTCTTTGAAGGTGACTGAAGTTTAAACGTGTAAGAATAAATACACAATTTTTTATAAACCTGGGTTTTTTGAGTCACCCCCTTGTATTTCATTTATGTAACGTTTTTTGTCTTGCCAGTGTTGTATAATCTTTTGTCTGTAATCCTTTAAACATATTGCTTAGTAGCTAAAGGACTCCACACAGAAGTATTTCTAATTTCACTGCTTTTTAAATATTATGCCCATTTGTACAGGGGTAATTGAGTCATAAAGAAAAGTTGTTAGCTGTCCCCAAATTTAATTTTTTCTGTAATTGACCAGTCAAGAGAGTGAGGAACAATTTAAAGCAATATTATACAAAAGAAAAAAGTTAACAGAGAATTATCAATTGAGTGATATTCATAGCAGTGAAGTAGCCAAAGGATCCTGGAAATAAAAAGTAACTTATTTTTACATATTGTACAGAAAGCAGTTTAAAATATATTTACATCACTCTTTAAACCCTGTTACTGGATTAACCAGGTACATCTGGTGATTTTACAAATCTTGCATTCAAATGTGGCTTGTAAATTTTTACTATAAATTCTTTTACAGGAATGTGTCTCATAGGTTTATCTTTTTTTCTAATATTTTTTATCAATTTGCTTTATGAAGTAGCAGAAGCTTTCACTTCAGTTTTAGTTAAATATTTGTGAGAGAGTCTACAGTGAGTTGTCAGTATATGTAAGTTTTTGTTTTATTGGTTAACTCATAGAATTCAGAAAACTTATATACAGTAAAGTCAGCCCACTCAAATGGTCAAATTTGATCTCAGCATGTTGGAGTTTTTCCTGTTATTCCCAAACAATAGTTAATATAGACTTGCTGTGTTAAATTTTTCTCATATGTCTCAGTGATAGTAAATAATAATGCAGAAATTACAGCTGTTAAGGATACATTGCAGTTCAACACTATTACTTGCCTACTTTAATATATCTCCTAGCTGTATACATCAATCAAATAGCAAAAACAAAGCTATACTTCAACAATAGACTAGATCAAGTAGAAGAAAGAATCTCAGAATAAACCTCAAAGAATAAATCTCAAAAACCTCTGAGGACACGTTTTTGAAATAATTCGGTCAGATGAAAATAAAAAAAATAGAATAAAAAATGAGCAAAGACTTTGCGACATCTGGGGCAACATAAAGTGACTAAATATACAAATCATCAGTATTCCTGAGGGTGAAGAGAAAATGAAAGGGTTAGAAAGGAGGCCCAAACTTCGCCTGTATGATGACCACTTATGTACCTAACCCTAAAATGTACTCCACATCTTTAAAATAAAATTTAAAAATAAAGTATTAGAAACCTATTAATTGAAATGATAGGTGAAAACTTCTCAAGTCTATCTAGATTTAGACATTCAGATACAGGGCTCAATAAACCCTAGGCAGATAAAATGGAAATCGGTCTTTTCTGCAGTACGTTATAATTAGTCTAAAGTCAAAGAGCAAGTTCTAAAAGCAGCAAGAGAAGGGCATCTAGTCACATATAAATGAAATCTCATCAAACTAATGGCAGATTTCTCGGAAGAAACCTTACCAGCCCGAAGAAAATGAGATTATATATTCAAAATGATTAAAGAAAAAAATACTGTCAGTCAAGAATACTGTATTCAGCAAAATTAACCTTCATAAATGAAGGAGAGATAAAGTTTTTCCCAGATAAGCAAATGCTGAGGGAATTTGTTACCAACATCACTTTTCACAGAATTGGAAAAAAAAAAAATCCTAAAACGCATATGGAACCAAACAAGAGCCAGGATAGCCAGAGCAATCCTAAGCAAAAAAAAGGTGGCATCACATTACCTGACTTCAAATTATACTACAAGGCTGTAATAACCAAAATAGCATGATATTGGCATAAGAAGAGACACATGGACCAATGGAACAGAATAGAGAATCCAGAAATAAACTCAAACAACTACAACCAACTGATCTTTGACAAAAGAGACAAAAAGACACACTGAGGAAAGGACAACTATATTCAACAAATAGTGCTGGAAAAACTGGATAACTGCATGCAGGAAATGAAACTTGATCCTGTCTCTCACTGTATAGAAAAATTAAGATGGATCAAAGACTTAAATGTCTGACCAGAAACCATAAAAATCCTAGAAGAAAACCTAGGAAAACTCTTCTTGACTTTGGCCTAGGCAAAAAATGTATGACTAAAATCCCAAAAGCTAATGCAACAAAAATAAACAAGTGGGAATTAGTTAAACTAAAAGCTTCTGCACAGAAAAAAACAAAACAAACAAACAAAAAACAACAGCAACCTACAGAATGGGAGAAATTACAAACTGTATACCTGACAACTAATATCTAGAATCTACAAAGAAGTCAGCAAGAAAAAAGCAAATGACTCCATTAAAAAATGGGCAAGTGACATGAACAGACATCTCTC